CCCAAGCTAATCGATTCACCCCTCGAAACACAGGAAAATCCACGAACCCCTCATTTTATCTGTCAAACTTTCATAGCGAATCAAAACAAATATAGTGTAGTACTAGAATTTCGACTGGAATGGGGAACGTTAATCGATTTGCTTGGGACCAATAAGCTAGTCAAGTAGTGAGCCAATTTAAAATCGTTAGTTTCCACCGGTTGATAATACCCCGTACAGACTATGGCTTATATAATGTAATATAGGCTATCTTGCAATGAGCACTCATACATAGGATTTCCGATGAAAACTAGGCTGTGTTCCATTTGGTGAATTTTCTCTTAAATTTAAAATTTCGAAAATAAATTTAAATCCCTCTGTTGTTGATCGTCCGATTTTCGAGAACGTGTCTGTCAAAATTGATTCATCGTCTACCAGAAATAGCTTTGCTACAAGGGGAGAGGTGGCTGTCAAATACGAACAATCGTCGCCTACCTCGCATAACTGGTTCTAAACGACAACAAGCTATAAGTTCTCCGACTGATTAGGGCTGTGAACCATTTGTCGAGCTAAATTTAACTCGTGGTTAAAAGTGACATTTTGAAAGTTATTTTCTATGTTCGAAAATCCCTGTGCTGTCGCTCGACCGGTTTTCGAGCCACGGTTGTCAAAATTTAACTTCTTGTCTGTCAGAAATAACCATGCTCGGATAGCAGGGTTAATCGATAACTTTCCATCTGTCAAATTTTAACCAAAAGTTAAAATAATCCTCCAAATGGTTCAGAGCCTTAATGGATGACGGAGTTTGATGTCACTTTCCTTCAACCGTGTAAACAGCGGGAGAACGAAAGAGATGACAAATATGACTGAGCCTTACATATTGCATCTCAATGATGAATGTTCAGTAGGCCGATTTGACAGCACATCCCACCCCTGGTTTGCTAGAGTTGTAGGTTTATTTGGAACTTTTCCATCTGTAAAATTTAAGTGATAATTCACCAAATCCGGAGTGATTTGAGATTTGGGCGTAATTACTTTTGTAAACAAACGCTTTACTTGACGATTTCTCGCGAATGAAAGCTCAGTCTAGAAAATTAACAACACAAACAGGTAAAGGAATGATTCATATAGCATGTGGTGTAATTTGATTCCGAGATATAGCTTTTATTCGCGAGAAATCGGCGATTGACGTGTTTGTTTGCAAAAGCAATTACACCCAAATCTCGAAGTTCTCCGGAAATGGAACGCAGCCTAAGTTGAGGGCCGGCATAACGTCCTAGAAGGGACGAATCTATGACAATAAGTCGAGTGGACAAAAAGTTTACTGCACAAAAAGTTGAATGGACAAAAGGTCGGATTGAACTTAGAGGAACAAAAGGTCAAATGAACAAAAGATCGAATTTTACATAAAGGCCAAACGCAATGTGAACGGAAAGTTTGACAGTTGTCACAAATGACATAAAGATGCCTAACCGAAGTCGATTTGGTTGCAACAAGTTTTCAATCCGACAAATTGGCTTACTCAGATCGGGCTTTTCCGCTTCCGCTGTCATTGCGCTTGGGCCTTAAAGGTTGAATGGAAAAATGGTTGAAATGAACAAAAAGTCGAAGTGAACCAAAGTTCAAAAAACCCAACATCAAAATTAACAAAATATTGTTTAGACAATTTTCGCTCAGAGTTTAAAAGAATTTAAAAAATACTGTGCAAATACTACCAAAGAACAGCATTACAGAGAAAGGCAGTTATTTGTCTCTTAAATTGGAGTGACACACACAGATACTATTTGTTATCTTAATTTTTCAAATAATTGCTCAAGATTTAAAGATGAAAAATATTTGAGAGTTTGTCACCCATTTTATCCTCAAATAATTTGACCAGTTTGTCCATTTAGACATTTTTTACATTTCGACCTTTTATGCATTCGAACTTTTGTGCATTCGACCTTTTGTCCCTTTAAGTTCAATTTGTGAGAGAGAAGTCTGCAGTTGGTTCCCCCACCCACAAACTAGCGAAGTGGCTAGTCAAAGAGTTCCAGAGTATGCCGAATCAGTTCCAGAGTAAAGCAGTTAGTAAGACCCAGGAGTTCGCCCAGCAACTACAATCTTCAGGAGACATCAACGAGGACGAGATTATGGTATCTTTCGACGTCACAGCTCTTTTTCCCAGCGTACCGGTCAAGGAAGCGATCAACCATTTGGAGGACTGGCTATTAACACAATGAGAGGATGCAGCATGGAGAAACAAGGTTCGGACGTACCTTAAGCTGACCCGCTTTGTATGGAAGAGAACAACTTCTCTTTCCGAGGTAACTTCTACAAGCAGACGAAAGGAGCCCTAATGGGAAACCCCCTATGGGAAACCCCCTATGGGAAGGGGGTTCTTGTGTGAACTTTTCATGGCCAACTTGGAGACAATCCTTAAGGAGAAAGGACTATTATCAAACCGTTGGTGGAGGTTTGTTGACGATATCTTCAGCGTAGTTAAACGGGAAGCCCTTCCACAAATTTTAGATAAGATCAACAGAACTCACAAGGATATCAAATTCACTCACGAGGTAGAAAAAGACGGGAAACTCGCATTTCTCGATCTTCTAGTCATCAGGGAATCGTCATCATCTTCCTCGCTTCAATACGAAATTTACAGGAAACAAACAAGCACCAAAAGAGTTATCCCCTATACTTCCAACCATTCGTTCCAGCAGAAAATGGCCGCCTTTCACAACATGATTCATCGAATGCAGACTCTTTCACTCAGCGATACAGGAAAGCTTAAGGAATTACAGTACATCTTCGAAACAGTAAGACTCAACGGTTACAAGGCGACCACAATCCAGGCAATCATCGATAAAAAAGTGAGAATTCTGCAAAGGAGATTATTTACAACCCTCACCGTATCACCTGAACCATTGAAACGAGTGCCCGTTCCATTTAATCAAGATATTACTTGTAAGCTAAGACCACAGTTAAAACAATTCGGATTAGATTTAGTTTTCACCAGTAGACATAACCAGTTGAAATCATTGTTAGGATCCACTAAAGACCCAGTTAATGTTTTAGGTAAAGCAGGTGTATATAAAATAAGCTGTAATCATTGTAACAAAGTATATGTAGGACAAACCAAGAGAACTTTAGCAACTAGATTTAAAGAATATATAGCGGAGGTGAATAAGGCCAAAAAGCAAGAGGAAAAAGGCCTAATATATGATTTCAAATCAAAGGTTGCAGAACACATCTTCACAGAGGACCACCAACTATCGACGGAGGACATCACGATTTTACGGACCGTATCTACACCATGGAAATTGGATGTTGTTGAAAGCCTCGAGATCAACAAACAACGTAATTCAACTTTACTCAACAGGGATCCTGTTCCTACAGGAAATTTAATTTAAGTTTACCTAGTTTCTAAGTGAAAATGTACCTGTGTTAATATATATTCGGTAAATGCGATGTTTTTCTTCAGTCGAGTATTAGTACAAGACACTGAAGAAGTCTGCACATTGTAGACGAAATACGCGTATCTGTCAAGGATAAGCAAATAAGGTAGTGGAATTAAATGGAAATTACTAATCCTTCTCTCTCTCATTATACTATTATCTCATTCCACTAAGACGCCCACATTCATCAGGATTCAATTTTAACTTTTGTTCTTCGACCTTTTGTCCTACAGCCGAAGGAAAAAAGAAGCAGAATATTTAGAAAAGGTCCTTTGCTGTACACAGAAGTCGTACAGAACTGTCATTGGATTCGGAATTTGGACATTCGAAGGAGATAATCACCCCTATTCTGTATTTCGTTTCGAACGAAACGAAATACAGAATAGGGGTGAATAACGATTCGAAAAAGTTTTACAATCGACTCGCCGCGTTGTAGCACTATTTACAAACCGTTCATCGTTTTTCATTTTCCTCCAACAACTCCCCGCGATGTCTGCGATGGAAAGCCGAGTGGCAAAGAAAAACTAGAAAAACTTAATTTTCCCTCTTTCCATCATTCCACTATTCGTCTGCCTAGAAGGTTTTCCTCGTCGTCGTAGAATACGCTCTCGCATCCGCGCACCACCCACCAAACCGCTTTCTACCTACCCATCTGCTTGGGCTGGCTGGTGCTGGTTGTTGTGTGAAGGAATGCTTGCCAAAAAATCACAGCACCCGTCGCACGCTCGCTCTCTGCACGGTCGATGAGATCGACTCAAAATTTAGTGATTTTTCTCTCTAAATCGCGCACTCTGGAAGAAAAACATATTTAAACAAAAATCAGTATCGCTTAAAAACCCGCCAAACGAAATCGTAGGGTCTCCACTTTCATATGATACTAATGCGGAAATGTTCTATCGGGGGGTCCAGAACAATTTTTTGGCGTAAATCCCGTTCAACAATTAACTCTATCAACCATTGAAGCCCAGCAAACGTATGGAAAAATGACACCCGATAGGACATTTTGAAACTAGCCTCAAACGAAAGAGTGACACCTAAGTTTTCGTTTGGTAGGTCTTTCAGCGATACTGATTTTTTATAATAATATACTAGAGACACCTAGAGACACGAGTGCCTAACCGTGGTTACTCGTTGACTGAGTAATCGCTCACGTCAAAAATCTGCTCGAATATAAGGAAAATAGACGAAAATTTTACTCAGCCTAGGAGTATACTAATAGACTGAGTGAAACCTCTATCGATTTTCCTCATATTCAAACACTTTTTCCTGGAAAATCTAGGAAAACTTTACACGCTCTAGGAGTGAACGAAACTTAAACTTGAGGTGGTTCATTCGACCGTGTATCTCTCACGCGTCAACATTTCTCTCCGTCGCTTCTCAGTCTCTTTGCGGATTTTCCGCCGCTTTTCCATTGCCTACTGCAGCAGCAGCAGCGGCATAATATCGTCTCGACGACGGCATGGCCCACTGTGAGAGAGGGAAAACGAGAGTCGTCCGTCGACGATTGAATCACATTTTTCCCGTTCAGCGCAGCGCATCCGTTGTTGTTCAGAGCAGCAGGAGGATTCAGTTAGCCAGTCAGATAAATTTCGGCACTCGGTCGGCGCGGTAGCAGCAATTTTCGCTCAAGTCGCGCGGAACGTCGCTCGTATGCGGTGTGTGTGCGCGCGTGTTTGTGTGAGTTTGGCTTAAGAACACACTTTTCACGCGATAAATTATTCGGATCTTTTCTGCGGAAGGAATTCGGGCAATTTGTTCGATATCGTTGATAGAAGGTGCTTATCGTCGTCAGTGCGGATATCGCGTGGTGTCAATTTCATTTGAACGTTAAATTGCGAAAGTAGCCAGGGTGGATTTAAAGAAAAATCTACCATCCGATTGCGTTGGAGGAGTGCGAGGTGAAGCTTCGCTTGTGTTTGTGCTTGGTGATCGTGACACGCCGTGTCACAACTTGTGTATGGGATTTGTGGAGTGAGGAGATGTGCGAAGCGAATACTTTGCGCCAGTTTTTCCTGTGGTCGTGAACGGTGAAAACGTTCTTTTGGGACTGTGTGGATTAGATGTGTTGTGATGAAGTTTGCCAAAGGGTGCATTTGCGGTGAAGATTTGTGATTTTCAGAGATTTTTGTGAAACTGCTGCATTAATAGATGGTTGGACATTTCGAACAGCTTGAACAGCATAAAGAACTGTAAGCATTTAACAATTTGATTAGACTGAAGAAAATTAGTTATATTTTATTGGTTTCGCTGAGGAATCTGAGCAATTCAGTTGTATCATAATCGCATAGAAGTTTATTCTATCGTTGAAATCAGAATTGCAGTTCCTGACTCGGTCGTGAACTCTAGAAGTAATGAAAAGTTGTTCATGATTTCATAAGTCCTGTTGAATCACACGCGCTTTGAAAATCATAATCTTGGTGGCTACCCCCACTTTCTCTTGTGTTATGGGAATTTGTAAACGGGCCTTGATGTTAATACCGTTATTATCGATACAGTTGAAAACCGGAAAAAAAACCCACTAGCGACTATCGATTTAACTCTCGTTCTATAAGTTATACATAGTGTCGCTGTATTCGCACAATGTTGCGCTATACAGCGCATTACTTCCGATACATACAGAATGAGAGTAAAATCGATTGTCGCTAGTGGGGTCTTTTGGACTTTCATTTTCATATTGATATTTAAGATCCTCGGATGGAACTACATTTTATTTTATTTTTGTTGAGAAAAAAAAAAAAGAATTAGATTTTTACAAAGCAATTCTAGGGATCACACCAAGGTCGAGTAACCCAGAGGTGGCTAAAAATCACCTTAATTAAGAATAAAAAAATAAGAGTTTTGACTCAACTCTAACTCATTTGTGACAGTTCAGAGTAACATTTTTAAGTAGCTCTGTGGAGAATTCCATGGCGATTGTAAAGAGTCTGTGAGTTCCAGGATCCGTGTAAAATGCCAAGGAATTCTGCGAAAAGCTTTAAGGCAATTCCGAGGATAATTCCAACGGTTTTTCGGAAAGAGTTTTTAGAAGATTTTAAGGAGAATTCCATGTGAATTTTCAGAAGAATTTAGAGAATAACTCCAAAATAATTTTCAACAAAATTTCAAGAAAATTCTGATGTGAAATAAAAGAAGTTTTAGTGAATTATTAGAAGGAAAAAAAATTTAAAATTCAAAGATAATCTTAGGACGAGTTTCAGACTGAGGAGTAATCTTTAGAGATTTTCTGAACTTTTTTAAATAAATTTTCAAGAGATTCCCAGAGATAATCTCAAATTGATTTAAGAGGAATCCTGAAAAAAAAACTCTGTTAAGGGAAATGATTCTAAAGGAAATGCATGAGAACAATCGAATAGAATCACGTACAACGCTTTCAGCGAAATTTCAAGGTAGTTAGACAAATCTTGAAAACATCGAACGCAAAAGCAAATTCAAGATCTAGGAAAAATTCTGTTGTCTCAGTTTAACCTAGTGATTAGACTGTTGCAAAATTTGAAATTTTCGCTCCACAGTGTTCAAACGGGTTCAAATCGGGTCCTGATTAGCCTCCGAAAGTTTAAAATCATTTGATAAGAAACTGACTTGGCACAAACCATTTGAAGTTTATATGGAAATTTTTGTTCATTGTCTTCCAGCCTTTTTACATATTGTGCTGTTAACAAATCCTTTTGCTATTCTTATGGGAATTTTTATCAGCTACAACTTTGCAGAAAATCGGTTTTCCAGATAAACGTCAAATTAAATAGTTATTAATTGTTTAAGAGATTGATAATCTTATGGCAAGATTAAGCAACTGTTTTGTGGGCAACACTGTATTCTGCAGTGTGACATAGTCATAAACACCAATGTTGCCTGTTGAACAGTTGATTGAGCATAATCATAAGACATCAGTGATTTGAATCATTAATAATTTTTGTTTCTTACATTATATCGAAAAGTGGTCTTCAACAAAGTTGTAGCTGGGAAAATTTTCAACAAGCTTAGTTATCATTTTCTAAAGTAGAGTGAATTGGTGAATTTTGAGATAGATATGAACCGTAATATAAGTAATTCCCATATAAACTTCAAATGGTTTGTGCCAAGTCAGTTTGTCACTAAATGAGTTCAAATTTTGGGAGGCTAATCAGGGCCCCATTTGGAACCGTTTGAGCACTGTGGAGCAAACATTTCAAATTTTGCATCAGTCTACAAGTGATCCCTTCAGCTCAATCGCATTCGGTTTTATGCTTAAGATAAATATACCGCACAAACGGGAAAATTGCTTTGATTCTGAAAAAAAAAACGGGAAATTGATAATCGGGATTTACTGGTCAAATAAAAGTACATCGTATGCCTCCATCATGGCAGGACGGCCTGACATTTGGGTCTTACCGTGCGATCAGGCGAATTGGCGAGCTTTGTTGATAACTTGGGTTGTCCACTCACGGATATATTCCCAGTTCCCTTGAGAAGGAGCCGTTCATTAAATGCGTAACGAAGATGCTTAAAATTGTCATACAAATTACAAACAATTGTCATACAAATTATGTCGACACTTGACAAATCCTTAAATTCACTGGATATACGATTTTTAATTAGCGTTCTTTTGACGTAGGACTACGTCTGTGATTTCTATATGGGGGTACACTTTGTAAAAACCGAAAATGGCACATGTAACAACATTATGAAAGATTTTGAACGTTAATAACTCAGCTGCCCTTGGACCAATTTCAATACAATTTATCACCAATCGATCAGAAATATTTCTACGCAGCTTTAAGACTTGATCATTTTTCAAATTGTCACTATTGAAAAATGCACGAATGTGAAACTGTTGCTATGATATTTAAAATTATCATCGATTGCCTAAGAAAAGCGATTTCCCTAACACAGATTTCAAAGTTGAATTGCATCCGGTCTCACCAAACGGTGTTTATTCAATCCTTTTTCATCTTTCATAAAAATAGATTTTTGGGAGCAAATTGCAGTTTGGGACTTTTTTGATCCGCTAATGCACAATGTGTAACTTTTTCCTAATGCAACAGGAAGGTTAACTAGAAACACAGGAATTTTCAAAAAACATCAGAAAAGTTCTGAGATCTTCAGGGAAGCCCGCAGAACTTAATAAAAGTTTTGAGGATTTTAAGAACTTTCCGACACACAATGGTTCATATAGGAAAATAGTTGGCATCAATTATTATTAGGCTCGTATGGCCTTGAATTCTTTAATTAACAAATATTTGCTTGTGACAAACATTCAAATTTGCACTCTAGACTAACATTTCAATATGGCGTAAAGCTGAACATTATATGTTTTTCCCTTCTTACAAAGAGTAGATATATATATACCGTTCTTGTTCCTCAAAAATCACTGCACCAAATTGAATGCACCAGCCGCAAAATGAAAAGTACTATGATCCCATAGAATGTTATCGAATATTTTTGAAATTGGACAACTGGTTCAGAGGATTAGATAGGATTAAGTTTTTGTAAATATTGACCTTCAAACCATATATGACGAAAAACGTGTTCAACCCACATTAAATCACGCACCAGATCTTAAAAATAATCAATAATCAATCAGACTTCCCGAGTAGCACACTTCCGTTAATAAAAGTTGCAGCAATTTGTTTATGACTGAAATAAGTCGTAAAGAAGTTTCTACAACCGATATGTGACAAGCGTGCTACTAGGGTTTAATATATGCCAGATGGCGTAGCGGTTCGTTCTGGGGCCCTCACGCAGAAGGACTGGGTTTAATTCTTCCAACAGCTCCAATACTACTACTAATACTGATAAATCAATACACTTCATAGTTGCCTTTAGAAATAACTTTCACTAACACATGACTTTAGAATTAACATTCATATAAGTGCGAACTAAATGTATAATTGGTGTACAGGACAAAAACCTTTTTTAATTTATTTTCTGAAAGTTCCGTTCAAGCTCCACCAGAAGCTGCTTAGAATGCTCTTCAATTATGGTACCGGAACTTTCAAGTTCAAGGGTGCTTAGAATTCTATAGACCACCTTCTTCCAAGCTGCTTAAGCCACAAATAGCCTTTTATCAGAACTTTTGGTTACTTGGGTGGTCTGAGTCTAAAATAAGCCTGCCATTCACATGCTTGCATTTCTTCTTCTTCTTCTTCTTCTTCTTCTTCTTCTTCTTCTTCTTCTTCTTCTTCTTCTTCTTCTTCTTCTTCTTCTTCTTCTTCTTCTTCTTCTTCTTCTTCTTCTTCTTAGTCGGTCTCTGTTCCGTAATCTAGTGCCAATCACCGACGGACATCGATTGTCATCCATTGACGGCAATCGAATGTGCAGGAAGGCAGCTTCCACACCTGCGTAGGATATCGCTCCCATTCAACACACATGGGCCAAGACCAACGGCTTTACTTCCCTTCCGAAGGAAGGCGTGACCAGTGATTTTTATGCCTCAGAAAAATCCCACCGACCTCGGCTGGGATTGAACCCAGACCCACCTAGGTTTTAACTCATGATCAAAAGCTGAGCTAGAAACGAATTATTCGTCGCGGTTTCGAAGGAATTCTTGAACCATTACCTTAATATGACTCATAAAGTGGCGCACAACGGTCTCGTACATTGTTGTGGCGATTTTTCCCCACAAATTTTTCATCAGAGCTGCAGTGATGGCTGTACCTTTTACCTTCAGTTTCCTCTTCATGATTGCCCCGAGGATTGCCCAGTAGTTTTCAATGGGCCTGAACTGGGGACAATTGGGCGGATTGAGGATTTTCGGGAAAAAAAACTGGACTCCTAAGCATTGTACCATTGTTGTACT